AAGAACCCCAAATCTAATTTCCTTTGGTCAGCTTTTTTCCTGACCATTAACAATTAACAACTCATAACCAACCATCCTAAACAATGACAACTATCTATAACCCATTAAAAGGCCAAAAACCACCCACCCTACCTTTTGGGAATGGGGTTGTCTTGTTCTTAAAATTACTTCCTGCTGTCTGGGGGCAAAGACATCTTTAGGGGATTCTGAAAAGAAGATTTTGGGTTAATTGTCAAGTCCCAGGATAGTTAGCTGTATCATTTGTTGTCCAGTCTCTGCATAATGGGAAAATGCAGGGCTTGTCTCAAGTCCTTCCTTGAATAGTCTGTGAGGCTGAATCATCTCAGCTAGCCATCTCAAAATTGTCCTGAACAGTATGTAGTCCAAAGCTGATCTTTGGGTGGTGTTTGTCAACTTGGTGGCATTATTACTGTCCTTATGGAATCGTTGTTGTGGGGCCCCATCATCTCTTTGGAGACTTCAACCTTACTGTTAGGCTTGGTCATGGTTCACTACAGAAATCTGATAGAGACTCAAACCCAAAATTATGTACAGGAAGCTAGATGAATCCTTTTTTCTTAGATTAGTTAGTACTCTATATGACCATTAATATCATGACAAATGTTTAAAATATATATATAAATCTTATAAATTTTGATATAAAATTCATACCTTAAGAAAAGTTCTAAAGAGTCAAAATAGAAGCAAAGAATTATGAGATTAGTGGCAATAGAATAGTCCCTTAGTTTTGGTTTTTCTTCTGTCCCATATCAGGTTGCATTTTTTTTTTAACAAGTGTGCTTGGGTTTAGAGAAGGAAAGAGCCACGCTCCAACTCCAAAGCCAGCTTTAATTTTCAATTGAACTGGGATTACAAAAAGACCATTTGTGTTATGTGTCTGTAGAGAACAGCAGAAACAAACATTTAGGAAGACCTACGAAATTTTATCCTGTTAGATATATGATCTATAGGCCAATTTACTCTTTTTCTTAGAACATTTTTTTCTGGATGATTTGTCCTTTTTTTCCAGATGTCTCATTTGTCCAGTGTTCTTCAGATTCCTTAGTCTTCATTCTCTTGAAAGATAAAAACAAAAACCTTTCTCCAACCCTATCTTTAGGGAGGTTCCCTTTTGGCAAGTTATATCTATCTGACCAAATGAAAAGTATTTGTTAGTGGTATAAATTAGTTTAAAACGGGTGGTCATACTGCTTGATGAACTATCACCTCTTCTAATTAAGAGCTCTCTCTTGTTCAAATCGAACCTTTATCAATTTTGATGGTATCCACAGCTTATCTTCTCCTATAGAAACAAAAGCAAAACCTTGTCCCCAACACAATACATAACCTGGTTTCCATTCTGAGGTCAGCACATCTTTAAAGTATATAGACTGATTTAATTCTGTAGTTTTTTCTGTTATCCAATGTCTCCCCACAGCTGTTGTTCCTTTCTCATTAGCATTGAGAAAATTCAAAGTTAATAAAGCATTATGTAATGTCTTTCTGAGGGTTTTTGTTACCCCTTTCTGTTTATTTAGCATATCCTTTAGAGTTCAATTTGATCTCTCTATGACTGCTTGGCCTATAGGATTGTGTGATATACCTATAATATGCTTTAGATTGTAATAAACAAAAAGCTCTCTCATTTTACCAGAGACATATGCTGGAGCATTGTCAGTTTTAATTTGTACAGGTATACCATGGTGGCCATAACTTCTAGCAAATAAGTGATTACAGAATCAGCCTCTTCAGAACTCAGAGCAGTTGCCCATTGAAATCCTGAATAAGCATCAATGGTGTGGTGTACATATTTAAGTTTTCCAAATTCTACAAAATGAAACACATCCATCTGCCAGATTTCATTCCTCTGAGTACCCTTTGGGTTACATCCTGCTGGTAGTGGAGTTTGACTGTATAAAGAACAAGTAGGACATGTCCTCATAATTTCCTTGGCTTATTGCCAGGTTATGGAAAAATTCTTTTTTTAAACCCTTACTATTGACATGATGTTTTTAATGAAATTCTGAGGCCTCCAGCACATTTCCTATCAATAATTTATCAATCTCATTACCTTGTGCTAGAGGGCCTGGCAGACCCGTATGGGGTTGGATGTGAGTTATCTATAAAGGTTCCAGGCTGCACATTGTTCTGGCAGTTGGATTTGGTGAGGTGTATGAGTCATCCAGGTGGTAGTGGTCTTGAAGGCATGAAGGTGCCATGGAGAGCAGCTGAGGCATGGCACTGTGAGTGGCCAGGAGAGGCCATTGGTGAAGGGGCAGCTTCCGTTCAGTGGGGACGCCAGCGTATTAGAGATGCTAGGATACTGGCAGAGCAGGGCTAATGCCGAGGCAGCAGCAGCCGTGGAGCAGAGCCAGCCTGCTCTGTGAGGTAAACTGTATGTGCTGTGGGAGGTAGAGCCAGAGAAACAGGGTTGCTCATGCCCGAGGAGCCCAGAGGATCATGGTCTCAGGTATCAGACTCTGAGCTATTTCCACTCCTGAGAGGAGCTGGGTTATACTCTGATGTGATTGTGACTGTGTCCTGGTTCTTCTCTCTTGGAATAAGAAAGGATTTAACTTACTTGTTTTTTATTTTATTTTACAGAAGCCCACAGTTGATAAGCTTAGGGTATTTTAAAGAGACTGAATTTTTAAAGTGTTTACATTTTTAAAGATTATGGGACTTTTAAAGTTATAAAATGCTTTATATTGTGATATTAACTTAACATCTTGGGAATAAATAAGAAAGCAGAGGTTATAGTTGAATAGCGATGTGTTTTATGTCAAGCTGACAAGGGACCAATTGTTCTGGCTAGTTTTTTTTTTTTTTTTTTTTTTCAGTTTGACAAAAGCTGGCGTCATCTGGGAAAAAGGAACCTCAGTTGAGAAAATGTCTGTCATGCCGGCCTGTAGACAAGTCTGTGGTGCATTTGACCAATGATTGATGTGGGAGGGCCCGGCCCACTGTGAGTGATGCCACCCAGGGCAGGCAGTCCTGGGTCGGACAAGAAAGCAGGCTCAGCAAGCTGCGGGGAGCAAGCCAGGCGCCACCATTCATCCATGGTCTCTGTGTGAAGCCCTGCTTTGAGCTCCTGCCCTGACTTCCCTTCATGATGGATTACACATGTAATCTGAAATAAACTCTGAGAGATAAAAACCTGTCATTATAGTAGCATTGCAAAGGCCACAAATACCAGGCTAACCAGTTACCTTTATTGCCAACCTTCCCAGTTACAGCTTAATGGCCCATAGTTCTCATCAAGCTGGACTTTTAATGTAACTGCCTCATACTTTTCTGTCTGATGGTGAAACCTGTCTGCTGAAAACCTTTCAGGAGTTCAATTAAATTAATGAACACATATACATGTTGTTGCAATTTTAATTATGCTTTTAAATGGTAATGCAAATGCTTACTGTGTATAAAGGCATTATTCAAAGCACAGGGTGGTAACCAGACTTGAAGCGATTCTCTATGAATTGTAGAAATTTGCTATCCTGTCATCCTCCAATACAGGAACATTTCTGTATCTGGCTCACCCCCAGAAAATGCGATCCAAATTTTGACAGAGTCCTTGGGGGGTACACTTGGGCGACATCCTTTGGAGTTCTTGCCCCAGAAAAGGGCATAGTCTGGGTTTGGCTCTGTTCAGGGTCAATGAGAAAGAAGGCAGCTGGCAGGATTTCATGAACTCTCCTTGGAGAGGGTCTGGATCATTCTACATGCCTTGCATACAGTTGTGACTAATGATCCAAGAGACTGGGGAGGCAGAGTCCTCTGGGACTTTGGGAAGTAATCTAGTTTAGATACTGATAATTTAGAGGCACAGGGCGGGCCTACAGTAGCTCTGAAGGAGTGCTATGGATGATGTAAATACCCCCCCACACACAGGTCTGTTTGTTAAAGGCGGGGATTCACAAGGTAGTGCTGCTGGGAGGCGGTGAGTTTTTTGGAAATGAAGCTTCATTGGAGATCCTTAGGTCATTGGAAGCGTGACCTGGAGGGGATTATGGGACCTTGGTCGTTTTGGTCTGCCACACTCCTACCATCACATGCCACCCTTAGCTTTCCTTCAAAAGACCTAGATGGTATATCTTCCTTGTTAGCAGAGGCCCAGATTCCTCAAGAAAGAATGTACGGGACAATCACTCGGTTCACAAAGGTGTCCACTGGGGGACAAAAAGGGAAGCAGAACAAAAGGAGGCCAGAGAGGCAGCTCAGCAGCTAAGAGAGCTTGCTGTTCTTGTAGACGACCTGGCTTCAGTCCTGAACACTTACATGGCAGCTCACACAGTCCAAAATTCCAATTCCAGGGGATCCAGTATCCTTTGCTGGCTTGCTCAAGCACCAGGCATACACAGTGCATATACATACATGCAGGGAGCACTCATACACACGCGTGTGCGCACGTGCACACTTGCACACACACACACACACACACACACACACACACACACACACACACACACCTTGTTTGTGTGTCTACCTGACACAAACTAGAGCCATCTGGGAAGAGGAAGCTCAATGGGGACAATGCCTCCATCAGATTGCCCTTAGGCAAGTCTGTAGGGCATTTTCTTGACTCATGATTGATGTGGGAGGACCCAGACCATGAAAGGCAATGCCATCCCTGGGCAGGCGGTCGTGGTTTGTGTAAGAAATCAGGCTGAGCAAGCCATGGGGAGCAAGACAATAAGCAAGCACCCCTCCATGGCTTCTGTTTCAGTTTTTGCCTCCAGGTTCCTGTCTTAAGTTCCTGCCTGTGTGTTCCTGTCCCCCACCACCACCCCACCACCCAGGACAGACTGTAACCTACAAGCCAGATGAATCCTTTCCTCCCCACGTTGCTTTTGGCCATGGTGTTTATCCCAATAACAGAAACCCTATATAAGACAGAAATTAAATCTATAGTGATGGAGACAAGCTGAGACTCTAAAGTCCACGCAATTCTAGGTCACAGTGAATGTATTCTGTGTTTTATGCCCTTAATTTCTCTCTTCTAGGGAACCTCAGAGACATGGGAAGCTGCTCCCCACAGCCAGAGCTGCAGCAATTGACTCTTCCTCAAGAAAGAACAGATGTCCAGCTTCTAGATGTGAAGCGAACAGAGCCTGGTGGTGCTCAGGGTCAGCTTCGGCTTTGGAGCTAGGCTGTCCCGGGGACGGTCCCAGACAATGACGGGATACTACAACGGTCCAGCTCTAGATGTGAAGTGAACAGAGCCTGGTGGTGCTCAGGGTCAGCTTTGGCTTTGGAGCTAGGCTGTCCTGGGGACGGCCCCAGCCAATGACGGGATACTACAACGGTCCAGCTCTAGATGTGAAGCGAACAGAGCCTGGTGGTGCTCAGGGTCAGCTTCGGCTTTGGAGCTAGGCTGTCCTGGGGACGGCCCCAGCCAATGACGGGATACTACAACGGTCCAGCTCTAGATGTGAAGTGAACAGAGCCTGGTGGTGCTCAGGGTCAGCTTCGGCTTTGGAGCTAGGCTGTCCTGGGGACGGTCCCAGCCAATGACGGGATACTACAACGGTCCAGCTCTTTCTGTGCAACGATGTCCTGGTCTAGCTAGAAACCTTGGGCGTCTTTGTGCCGGAGCTCCCACAGGCCAAGCAGGCACTGTGTCAGGTCTGGTATTTCAGCCCCACATTCAGGGCCCCATGCGTCTTCACCTCTTGCTTCTTCAGTGACTTTCATGCGCTCCCAATCAGCCAGCCTCCACTTCTGTGAGAACTGGAGCATCACGGGCAAGGCATACAGACCCCTGATCCCTGACAGAACCGGTCTCCACGGCAGATGCTTCTTCTGTGGCTCCGGCCCAGCCTGCTGCCCACTGAGAGCCCAGGAGACTCCGTGCTCTCTGGAGTACGTAGGCTATGGGCCACTGGGTAGAGAAGCCCAGGCCCCAGCAGCCGGTGAGTTCGTGAGTTTGCAGTTCTGAAGTACAGGCAGGGCTGAGGACTCGGACCCAGCAAAGAAAAAGAGATTTCTAGACTGGGGTACAGGGGCAAGGATAGCAAGAGATCACGGGGTCCTTGAACCTCCGAAGCCAGGAGGGTCTGGATAACAGGGGGCCTTGGGAAAGCTGACCATAGGAGAGATTTTTCCTGGCCCGAGGGGGACCGAAGGGTCCGCCCTGGTTTTGAGGACAGTTGCAGTCGCTGAAGCTGTTACAGATAGGGCCGCTTCAGTACAGGACTTCACAGGATCAAGCTCCAGGAAAATGGAACCAGCCTCCCTCAGCAACCCTCAACAAAGCATAGACTCACCGTTTTCAAAGAAAGGAGCTTGGTTCACGGCCAGCCTCCTGCACCCTAACTTCTTATTGTAGTTTTGTTTTGTCATGTGTTCTATTGGGATTATTAAAAAAAAAAATCCATTTTTAATTAAAAAAAAAGTGAAACACCAAGGTTTTTTCATTCAACTTAATCATTTAATCATCTTAATTCCCTTTGTGTTCCTATAGCAGATGCCTGAGACTGTATCATTTGTGAGGGAAATCACTGACTTAGGCTCAAAGTTCTGAAGGCTGAAAAGTCCAGGATCGGCAGCCACATCTGGTAAGGACCTCTGTAAGGCTGCAGAAGTGGTTAGAGCATTTGAGGAGAGAAGTGAGAAGAGCTGGAAAACTCCACCATATCCATATCCATATTCCCATGGGGAGGGAACTAATCTCTTCACCTTCCCTAAGCGCCACACTGAAGAATGGAGGTTGCAACACTTGAGATCCTTTTCCCTGCACCCCAGGAGGCTGGGGTTTAACATTGGCAGGGCTAATGATTGTTCCTTATCTACAGGGGAGAACTGTAGGTAGAGTTTTTTTTATCAGGACCAATGGCCAGCTCCCAACAACAGAGACTTAATTATGAATGCTCAGCCAATAGCTTAGGCTTGTTACTAACTAGCTCTTACAACTTAGATTAATCCGTATTTATGCTTTACCATCCAGCAGTACCTTTTTTTCAGCATGGCATATTCATCGTCTGTGTCTGACTTGCAATTCCTGAGACTCTGTCCTTTTTCTTCCTAGCATCCTCTTGGTTTGGCTTTCCCACCTAACCTCTTCCTGCCTACCTATTGGCCAGTTAGCCTTTTATTAAACCAATCAGGAGGCACCTTGGCAAAGACTCATCTTCACAGTGTACAATAAGATTATTCCATAACAGAGAACTTGTTTACATCTCAGCAGAGAACAGTTTCATTCTCCATTACTCAGTCACTCTTGCTGCTGGGGACGTTGATGTCACCCAGTACTGTGACTCTCTGCAGCTCAGAGCCCCTCAGTATCCTGGGCATGCTTCTCAGATCCACCTCTCCACTCACAGATCAACCTCCATTCAGTCTGAGGCTTAAGGGACTGTGCTCTGGACCTTTTCTGTGTAGCTCTCTCGTTGTCAGGACTCTGCCCCACAAATTTCAGCCATCACAGCAACTCTAAAAATCTAATCTAGGGCATCAAGACTGCTGAGTGGGTAAAGGGGCTTGTGGTAAAGACTAATGGCCTGTTACATCCCCAACTCCAAGTGGTGGAAAGAGAAAAATGAGTCCTGTGGGTTGTTGTTTGATTTACACACACACACACACACACACACACACACACACACACACACGTGAGACTAAAGCTCTTCCATCTTTACAGAATAACAAGGTAATCATGTGATGGTGACTGTGTGACCATGGAATGTCCCAATCCTGGTCTCTATGGTGATTGTTTTACCACAGAATGTCCCTACCTGAGGGCAGTCAATGAGAAACGCTGACAACCATCCACCTAGCAGGAAGATGAAGATAAGGTTTCTGGAAAGCCCCTAGAAGCGAGCCAATCAGAATTGTACCCTACTAGCACCTCTAACTGATGTAACCTTGTGGTTTTGCCTTTAAAAACTGAGCTTGCAGAGGGACGGGCACCTCCTCCAGCCTCCACTGTGTTGGATAGCTTCACGGGGTCCCTGCCTAGGCTTGTATTGCTCCCTAATAAAGCCTTACTTTTGCATTCTGGTAAGCTTATCTTTGGTGGTCTCTCTGGGGGTTGCAATCTGGGCACAACACACACACACACACACACACACACTCAAATAAATGTGAAAAAATTAAGCAGGATACCAACTAAACACTTAACAAATCATAAGCAAATTAATTATAAAACAATTTTCTGGCATACATAGGAACTTACCATTTATTAAATACAAACACAATGAATATGCTGAATTAAACCTCAGCTGGAGAGTTGATGCAGGATGTAGAGCATCATCTGTGGTGGTATTGTGTTCCCCAAAATATTGTGTACCCTAATAAACTTATCTGGGGTCAGAGAACAGAACAGCCATAATATTAAACATAAAGGTTAGGCAGTGGTAGCACACACCTTTAATCCCATCACTTGGGAGGCAGAGATCCATGAGGATCAAAGCCACACTAGAAACAGCCAGGCATAGTGACACATGCCTTTAATCCCAGGAACTGATGGCAGAAAGCAGAGAGGTATATAAGGCGTGAGGACCAGGAAATAGAGCTAGTTAAGCTTTTAGGCTTTTGAGTAGCAGTTCAGCTGAGATCCATTTGGATAAGAACGCAGAGGCTTCCAGTCTGAGGAAACAGGATTAGCTGAGGAATTGCAAAGTGAGGAAGCTGTGGCTTGTTCTGCTTCTCTGATCTTCCAGAATTCACCCCAATAACTGGCCTTGGGTTTGTTCTTACTAATAAGACCTTTTAAGATTTCTGCTACAATCATCAAGGTTTTTCATAGTTGAGTAAGATTTTGACTTTACAGTTGATGAATGAAAAAAATAAAATAAAAAGGAGGATATGACTGCTCCTAAGTATGATGAAGGAGAAGGTATATTGTAGATAAAAAGGGAGAGCATAACCAGAGGCAGGGACATCTGGGAGAGTCCAGAGTGGACATGACCCTGAGCCATGCGAGGAGGAGGGGAGGGGAGAGAGAGGGGGAGAGCCAGGAGAATACAAGGTGGACAAAATGGCTGGGTTATTCAGGGAAGGACAGGTGGGAGAAGGGCAGCCCAGACCCTGGGTTGAAGAAATTTCAGGTAGTAGGTTGGGCATACCAGCCATATCCTGTAACAGGCAGGGACTGAGGGATGCTGGGAGAACCTGGCAGCCAGGTCTGCTTTGATACGTTAATATTAAAAGATTTCTTTTTGGAAATTCAATTTTTTTTTTCAAAACAGGGTTTCTCTGTGTAGCTTTGCACCTTTCCTGGAACTCGCTTTGGAGACCAGGCTGGCCTCAAACTCACAGAGATCTGCCTGCCTCTGCCTCCCGAGTGCTGGAATCAAAGGCGTGCGCCACCACTGCCTGACTATAATTCAATTTTTAAGTTTCTATGAAAGCAGAAAGCTTTTTGTTTGTCTTTGTTTTTGTTTTTGTTTTGTCAAGACAGGGTTTCTCTGTGTAGCCCTGGCTGTCCTCATGTTGTGTGGCAACTATTCCTGAAAAGCACTGCAATCTCTAGCACACAGCTACCTGAGCAGCGTGTCCCAGGGTGTTGTGAGGGGTGATGGATAATATGAGTGTTGTGTGTATATAACCAACAGTACAGGAATCACGTTAGGTTCATTAAGCATTTGATTTTGAATTAACTTTTAGTCGTTGTTGTTTGGAAACCATTTACTGTTGTCTTAGGGGATGTCGGCTCACAGTTTGAAGAAGCCATGAGGGCCAGTGAGATGACCTGGTGGATGAGGGAAGCCTGATACCCTGAGTTGTCTCTGGTTGTACAGCTTAGGGATTGACCTAACTCGGGCAACGGGGAATGAAGAACCGACAGACAGACAGAGACACAGACAGAAAGCTAGGGTTGGGCAGGGTGTACACTCTGATGGAGACACACCAATAGCATTGTAGAAACAGCATATGTTTTATACAACTAGATTGAGGAGGCGGGTCTAGTGTATGTAGAACAAGGAGGCAGGTATAGCTCATCTCAGTAGGGGGGTCTCTGAAGGGAAGCCATCTCAGGCTGTAAACATCCAGGAGGAGGAAGCTGTGGTGGGCACTTTCTGCACACGCTATCAACATCCACAAGGACCAAAGGGATGGTTTCCTTATTCCTGTAGGTCTGAGGCATTGAGGTCCTTGACACGGCCGGACTCATGTCACACAACATGAGTTCACTCAGGACTTCATCCTCTGCCCACACTGAGTTCAATCCATGGAACCCACACAAAGGTGAGGAGAGAACAACTCCACAGAGTGGTCCTCTGCCCTCCACAGGTGCCTCACAGCATGGGAGCTCTGTAGACAGTAATAAAAAGAGAAATCTTTAGAGGAAGCTCAGGTGTCTGCTAAGTTCAGTCACTCTCGGTATCTGTGGGGGACTGTGCCATCACAGACTGGCTTTCTCTCCTTCTTTAAAAACTATTATGTTTAATTATGTCTATGTGTGTAGGTATGTCAGCAGCCACACGGACCAGAGGAGTCAGATTCCCTGGACCTGGAGTTACAGGCAGTTGTGAACTGCTTGAATGAGTACTAGGAATACAATGCCAGTCCTCTGAAAAAGCAATCACTGCTCTTAATCGCTGAGCCATTTCTCCAAACTCTGGGCCATCTTTTTATGCTTCTAGTTTCAATCATCTGTGTCCTTATATTTATTGGGGGCCTCTTCAAAATAGTATTTTTATTTTATTTTATTTTTTTTTTTTTTTGGTTTTTCGAGACAGGGTTTCTCTGTGTAGCTTTGCGCCTTTCCTGGGACTCACTTGGTAGCCCAGGTTGGCCTCGAACTCGCAGAGATCCGCCTGGCTCTGCCTCCCAAGTGCTGGGATTAAAGGCGTGCACCACCACCACCCGGCTAAAACAGTATTTTTAAAACCCTATTTGACAATAGTAGTCTCTTTCCTTTTTTGGTGTATGTTCATGTGGGTGTGTGAACATGTCTATATGTGTGTGTGCGTGTAGGCCAGAGGTTAACTGTTGCCTTTTTCCCCCTGGATCATTATCCACCTTATTTTCTGAGACAGTGTCTATCATTGAACCTGGAGCACACTGGTTTGGTGAGCTCCAGGAATCTGCTTGACTATGTTCTCCTGCCAAGGCTAAGGTTGCAGCTGTCCACTGCCATGCCTGGCATTAAAAAAATAATGACCTTCAGATTTTATTTTATGCGTTCCAGTGTTTTGCCTGCATGTATATCTATTCACCACTTGCAGGCCTGGTGACCACAGAGGCAGAAAAGGGTTTCAGATCCCCCTGGGACTGGAGTTACAGGTGATTGCAAGCCACTCTGTGGATGCTGGGAATTGAACCTGGGCCTCAGGAAGAGGAGCGCTCTTAGCCACTTGATCCCT